GTGTCCCCCTTAAGTTTTTGGACAAATGAGCTCCCCAAATCCCAGATCGCAAGCAGTGTCCCCCTTAAGTTTGTTTGACACATGAGCTCCCCCAATCCCAGATCGCAAGCAGTGTCCCCCTAGAGTTTTTGGACAAATGAGCTCCATCGCGAGCAGTGTCCCCCTTCAGTTTTTTTTGACAAATGAGCTCCCCAAATCCCAGATCGCAAGTGTCCCCCTTCAGTTTTTGGACAAATGAGTTCCCCAGATCACGAATCGCAAGCAGTGTCCCCCTACAGTTTGTGTAAAAAACGAGCTCCTCAAAACGCAAATCGCAAGCAGTGTTCCCCTCAAGTTTTTTTTGACAAATGAGCTACAGACATACATACAGACAGACATACACACTTACGTACTTACTTACACATACATGCAGATACATACACATGCACACACATACACATGCATACAAATACATACACAGACATACATATACATACACATACAGACACATACATACACATACATACACATACATACACATGCATACACATACAGACACATACAGACACATACATACACATACAGACACATACAGACACATACATACACATACATACATACACACATACATACATACATACATACATACATACATGCATACTGGGATTTGGGGAGCTCGGTTTTTACACAAACTGAAGGGGTACATTGCTTGCGATTTGTGATTTGGGTACTGGATTTTCTAGCAACTTGAGGGGGACGCTGCTTGCGATTTATGATCTGGGGAGCTCATTTGTCCAACAACTTTAGGGGGACACTGCTTGCGATCTGGGATTGAGGGAGCTCATTTGTCAAAAAAACTGAAGGGGGACACTGCTTGCGATTTGGGATCTGGGAAGCTCTTTTGTCCAAAATCTCAAGGGGGACACTGCTTGCGATCTGGGATTTGGGGAGAATCCAGTCCGTAGAATCCAGTCCAACAATCTCAAATCGCAAGGGTCGTCTCCCCAAGATTTTTTTCAGAGAATCAAGTCCCCAAATCTCGAATCGCAAGGGGTGTCCCCATAAGATTGTTCAGAGAATCAAGTCCCCAAATCTCGAGTCGCAAGGGGTGTTCCCCTATGCGTTTTCACAGAATCAAGTCCCCAGATCCCAAATCGCAAGGGGTGTCCCCCTAAGATTTTTCAGCGAATCAAGTCCCCGATTTGCGTCTCGTTTTCTTGTTCTTCTTTATTTCGGCGGGCGACGGCATCCTAATATTATCTACCCAACCACACATGTGGGGTTCTCCGGTCCTTTGATTGGCAACTATGGCTTGAACCCTACATGACCTACATGAGCTATAGTCTAAAGTCCTTAAAGGGAGTTATATAGGGGGAATATATAGGAGACTGTTATTGGGCTTATAAAGGGGGATACTAGGAGTTTAGACAAATGTACACGCACATAAGCCCACAGTCGTGCACCCTAAACACCCAAAATTTAACTTGAAATCCACAAAACTGGCAAGGCTGACTGGGACACCCGATGGCTGGATCTTGGGCTGAAGCTCATGAACCTTGGAATGGCGCCTTGGGGATTTTTTTCGGAACTTTGGGCATTTTATTCATCATATAGGGGTTTCCCAAAATCAGGGGTACCTTACTGGGGGTCCTTATAATGAGGACTATAGTATATTGGGCTCTATATTGGGGTCCCCCTATTTAGGAAACTACCATATGGGGGTGTAGAGTTTAGCGTTTAGGGTTCTAGCCCAGCTTAAGGGGTGTAAAAATGACCCTAAACCCTAAACCCTTAGGGGTTTGGAGACTTCCGAGGTTCAGTTTGAGGGCTACAGGCTTGTGATTGTATGCACTGCACGAGTATAAAAAAAATTGGATGCGTATAGTGCGGGCGCATGGGCTGAAGGGAGGGGGGTGGTTCACATTTTTTCGGATGTAAAGATGCGCTTTGGGGCTTCAAGGTTCAAAAGTTGAGGGGCCTGCTCGGATGGTAAAACTCAAATAGCGGGAGTTGTACCGCTACTATTATATAGAGGCTATAAATTACTGAAAATGATAGCGTCTTCTTTGCATGAACGTTTCTCAAGATGATTCTTCTGCAGTCACTCTCGTGTCGTCTGGATTCGCATATGCTCGGTAAGGTTTCCAGGGCACGCTTATTCTTCAGGAACCCAAATTGCATCCGACTCCTCAATTTTTTGTATCCTAGGTGCTCCAGATCTTTTTGTCGATCTTCCCCATTGGCATTTACCAGTTTTGGCTATCCGTGGTCAATGATTACTGGTGCCTTGGACTGCCAGGTTACGTTGGAAATCCAATGCAGGGCTGCAAACCAGGTATGGAAGCATACACCTTAAACTGCCAAACAGGTATGCCCGCAGTGAGCATTTTCACGGAGATCCTACGGTGCAGTGGATGAAGTTGGCGCGCGGGCTTGGAGACTCCATCTTTGCCTTTGCAATGCTGATGGTGCCTGAAGTTTTGCCCAGAAGCAATAGGAATTTATTTCAAGTACGCAAAAATTGTTAGGATGTGCCCAAAAGAAGGATTGGCTACATGTTTCAAATGGTTTAAGGGACAATACTAGACGTTCACCATCATGCGGACTTTGCAAAAGATTCGCTGAATCAGCCCAGGTGCTGTGGTTCGTGTTCAAGGACTTTCTCCGCCGCGCATTCGGAATCCAAAGTGCGGCTGCACGGGAACCGCTCCTCAAGCAGTGAACAGAACAGACTCTTACGGCTTCTTGCACGGGATCGCACAGGAGAATCCTTCTGTAGCTTGGAGTGAGCTCTGTGGGAATTATCTTACGATACTGTGTAGGAAGGAGTGGCCAGGATGTCCTGAGCCCCATTGCGGGCATTTCTCAAAATGCAAGTCATTTTTTCAGACCCCAGAATGATCAGGACCTTAATTGCAAACATCCCCCACTCAGGGATGTATGATTTTGAGAACGCCCATGTAAAGTCCATTTATCATTGTCATATCTTGGCTAAGAAGCTTGGATTTGGCTTGCCAAAGTGCTCTTTAGGCGCGAGGTCAAAGGCCGATGACCTTGCGAATTTGATTTGGGCAGCCCGGTTGCAGAATTTCCACACTGTCACGGCGAGCTGCAAGGAAGAAGAGATTGGGATTGCAAGCGGATATAAGCGGAATGATGAGACGAGAATGATCTTATTGAATATTATCTCTTGAAAATCATTATCTTCTTTTCAAGATTTTGAAAAATTGGAAATTGATTTAGAAAATCAATTAAATACGATTTTTATTTAGAAAGATGAATAATCTCATATAAAATCGATAGAAAATTCTAGATATTATTTAGTATAGTCGATGAAAATCTAGTTATTCTTTAAAATGAAGTCATCAGAAATTCTTGAATTTTTTGGATTTCGGATGATCGTTATTCGTATATAGATTTTATATCATTCTTGATAATATATATATTTTTTTATTTGATCAGAATGTCTTTGTTATTCGGAGATTTTTTATTTATTTCTTTTTATATAATGAATGATCATTTTTGAGCTATTTGCTTTATATCGTTTCGAATATAATAATATTTTGATGAATTTAGAAATCATTGATTTCTATATATTTTTTGGTTCTCGTTTTTATATATAATAATTGAATAAATTTAGAGGATGATATGATATCGATTTTTTATAAAAGAAATTTGATATTTTGCAATTTAGGAGTGAATATATATATTTACAAAAAAAAATTGAGAATATATAATATGTTTTTGAATAGATTTAGATGATATTTTTATACTTAAGATGAGTGTATTAGATTTGAATGATAAATGGAAAAATATTAATTCTCATGCGGAATTTGATATAGGATTGATGCTCTTTTTTCGTGATGGAATGAGTAATGATTTTTTAATAAGGTTTTCGCAATATTAGTTATTATTCGTTCAAAATCCGTAATCTAATTAAAGAATTTCTTTTTATTCTATTCGGCATAGATAGCAGAATAGATCTGATAATTGTATATTCCCTATAGATAGTCTAAGGATTTCTGGGAATTATCCGGAAAGGATTGAAATGATTAGCAATAATCCTAGAGTATTTGCAGATAATTTCCCAGTCTCATTAGATCAAGAATTCAAATAATGACGATAAAGGGAGATTGATACGACTATATTCTTCTCTATATATCTTTTCCTAAATTGCCGATTTTCTGATATGAACAGATTAGATAGGAAATATCCGGTTATCTGCTTTGAATGCAGGAGAGGATATCTAACGACTTTCTTTCGCAAGATTCATTATCCGGATAAATCTATCGAATCATGAAGAGCTGTCTTAATCTTCGCCGCCCTAGGCCTAGCAGATAGGAATAGCAGCATTTCATTTTGAAAGAATGGCGGGGAGAGACCCCAATCAATTATCGGGCGGGTTCAGAGAGATATAAAATCTCCGCTTCAAATCTAATATAAATGATTAAGGCGATTCCTGAATAGAAAATTGAATTTATATGTAGCGTTCGCTCCTAGATATTCAAATATTTCAAATGAAAAATCGCCGTCTTTAGATTATAATGAAATTGGACGTATTTATCATATAATCTAGATTTCCGTAATATATAACGCGTTGCCTCTGATTCACTACTTCGGAATATAAATGAAATTGATCGCAAAAATATTTGCCCTGGCTAGTATACGCGAATATTAGCATGAAATTCGTAAATTCATACGAAATCTCAGGGAAAAAAAAAAAAAAAATGACTCTATCCCGCTCTGCAGCGGGATCACTATAAGAATTATACATTACGTATCAGGGATCTTCCCAGCGTCCGCCTCGATTCTTGCGTCCCTCACGCCCCAAAAGCAGGATATAATCCTTGAGCACTCGTGATTTGAGTCATTTATTATTTTTCATATTACTATTATTATAAATATTCGAAAAAATATTCCTATTATTAATGGCAATATCCTTCATCATAAATTTGGATTATAGAAATTGGGAGGGATTGGAGATTTCGAAATTGAAGGGAGGGAATTGATTCTTGGAATTCTATATTCCTATAGATTGAGAAGCTCAAAATTATGAGATCATCTATATCTCTATATATTTCTTGATGAATATATTTATTCTCAATATCAATATTATTTATTGACAATCATATCCTCTGGATAGAGATTTTGCCCTGAAATTAGCCGGATCGTCTTGTGCATTTTGGTATTGATTAAAATCATATATATATAAATCTTAAGAAGATTTCTGAAGATCTATGATTTAGATTTTACGAATTTGGATTTGAGATTTTCAGATTTAGAACGTTGGAATTCAGGGAAATATATATATATATAGATTTATCTATAGATTAAGATATTTTAAAGATCTAGCTCTTATCAATTCCCGGATCATTCCTTTCCTAGAATATAGAATCATATATATATATCATTTGATATATATATTTCGGAGATGATCCTAAAGATAGATAAAATCTTTTCGTCTCTCATGCTCCGCATATGAATATATAATATAGGATACGAAATTTTATCTCAAGAATTGACGGCGTATTATAAATCCGATAGATAGATTCATAATTTTTTCCTTTATATTATATATGATTCCGATTCTATTATGATCTTGGAATATTAAATATCGTATCCGGCTTGCCATTCTTAATATATAGGGTTTGTGTCTCAATTTATTGCCGGTCGAAAGATTTTTTAGATGAATGATATTTGATCTGAGAGCAAGAGAGAATATGATTATTGATTGAAAAACGATAGATCTATTATATCATTCAAATTATATATATATAGATATATCGTTCAATAGATTGTCGTCTTGCCAGGGAAATTTGAATCCTCGCTAAAAATAATTGTCTTGATTCATTCTAATGACGCGCTGTATTCATATTAAATTGATTCTATATCATTCATTATTATTCAAGAAGACGATAAATAATATAATTGAATCTTTCTTCATTTATTTTTGTCATCTCAAATATATTTTTCCTGATCATTTTTTCTAGGACGCATCTATTGGAATACGCGGAAAGGATCAAATGATGCTAGTTGCCGCCACAATAGGTTAGCAGAGAATGACGAATATTGGCGGCGGTGGCGGTAGGTGGTGGTGGCGGTGAGTGGCGATCGGAGACGGTATGGCGAAGGCAGGGGACGGCGAAAAGTGGCGGTGTCGCGGGGCGGCGCTGGCGGTAGTATGTGGTAGTAGGCGGTAGTAGGCGGTGGCGGTCTCGGAGGCAATGGCGGACGATAGCGGTGGCAGTAGCGGTGGGGGGGCCTGGCGACGACGGCGGGCGGTGGTGACGGCGGCGGTAGCAGTAAGAGATAAGGGCGGGGGCGGGGGCGGTCGGTGGCGCTAATGGTGGAGGTCGGGAGCGGGGAATGAGGCGGTAGGGATCGGTGGCGGGGGGCAATCGTGATTAGTATTGATTCGGGCGGAGGCGACAATAGCAGTGCGTGCCAGTCGGCAGCAGTCATATAACGTGATTCCCAACGTCCGTCGATGGAATCGGCGGATCCTCTCTAATATGTATGTATATATATATATATGATCGAGATTTTCAGATTCTATTTGATCATTATTTCTCTATATTATTCAAATATAGGTGATTCATATTAATAAGATATATATTATATTTTCAAATTAGAATATAAGATATATATCTATCATTAGGAGAATTTAATTCAATAATGAAGAATATTATCTCAATAATATGGCGCGATCATTTGTCATCATTTCGTTCGCATGCAACCTAAATTTTCCGATTCCTCTTTATAAATTTCTCTAAAATCTTAGAAATTTTAGAGTCCTTCGGAAAAATTAGAGATTCTAAAATGTCCGAGATTTTTTGATGCGGGCGGCGCCTCCAAAAATCCCCGAGATTTTTGGTCGCGCAGTCCTTGCCTCCGCAGCAGTCTTCCGCGTGATTTATCTCTCTTTAATTGATTGCGCGATTGATCGAAGGAACTTATAGGTCCGGGACGGAGATTCATCATCTTTTAGTATCTTTCAGAATGGCCGTATCTGTCTATGGGGATTTATGCGCTCTCCCGAGCCGTCGCGTAGATAATCCAAGAGAAATAAATGAGGCGGAAAGACCGGGCTGGATGCCGGGGGCGCGCGACCAAGAATCTCAAGAATTTTCGAATCATTTCTCTCTCTTTGGCTATCTGCGCGGCGTCTCAAAGGAACGTATAATCCCGGGGCAGAGATCTAAAATCTATCAGAATCTATAGGATGAATATTTTTATCAAATGCAATCTTATATAACGATTCTTCTTCGAGCTTCATATGCGATTTCAGATATTGATTATTCATCGATTTTCTCATTATAGATATTATCAAATAAATCTATTCCGTTCAATTCTATAACTCTTTTATAAATTGAAAGATCAAGGAAAATTTATGGAGAATCGATAATTTCAAAAAAAATAATCTATATTTTGATTTAATCAGATTTTTCTATTTCTTATGAAAAAGAAATCTAAAGGTATCATTCGAAAATCCTATACGGATCAATTTAAATAAAACGATCATGATTGATTTAAAAGATTTTCCATAAAAGATCGTCAGGCATTCGCAAAAAGATTTTTGATTGCGCGAAAAAAATGTCATTAGCTACGGTTTTCTATATATTTATAGAAATATTTCTCTTCTTGCGTTCCGCAGGCATGCTTCCAGACATGCTCAATGACGAAAGGATTGCAAATCTTTCTCAGGCATAAATTCAATCTCAG